GGAAGCCAGTGTGGAAATATTAGAGGAGACAGAGTTTTGAATGCATGCCACAGAAGGTCACAGTGCTCAGATGACAGTGTGTTTGCAAGGAGCAATTCTCAGAATTTCCTTTGGCGTTGAACCAACTCAGGAAAAGAGGAAGATTTCATGTTCCCTGCCAGAACGCATCCCTGTAATAATGTGAGAATGAACGGCCTGACCCTAAATTATAAACAGCTCAGACTAGGCTGTGGTCTGCTGCAGAAACTATCTCAAGCTTTGAAGAGAGAAAGCTTGTGTCTGTGATTATGTATATCTTTCTCTGAGGTGCAATAAAATAGCTGTCATTTTATTGTGAATTTAAGGCAACAGTTGTCATTGTGAAAGCATCGATCTTTTTAATACACCTTGTGAGTAGGATAAAAATAAGGAGATGGAGGTCTTCCTTCGAAAATATCTGGATTTTGTATGTCCACCACTAAGATAAGCTGTAGTAATAAACAATAGAGTATCAAGAAATAGAAAACTTGTACAAGGATGCTGAGGCTATGTAACAAGTTATTCACTGGCCTTCAGAAGAAAACTCTGGATACAGTGATTTTCAAAATAAGTGCTTTCTAAGCACAAATCTCAGCTTCATCAGTTTCCATTCATTTATTTGGTTTAGTGTTTTCTACGTCAATACAGTTGTGACGTTTTTGACCCTGTTCAAGGGCTGAATGTAAACACAGGAGGCAGGAAATGTGAATGGATTTAGATGCAGCATCATTGACTTTAGGAGAGGTTGATACTTTTAGTAGTGGAGGAGCTTAGCCCAAAGACTAGAGGAGATTTAGCTGGAAGAGGAAACGTGTGTGTTAAGCACATTCCAGCTGAGGGAATGCTGAAGAAAAATGACCTGTTATTTCACGGTTGCTATAGCTGTTTGCTGTGCATGGCAATGCATACCTGGAATTGTATATGCTGCCCTAGGGAATATATAGTGGAAGGCACTTTAGGTTTGGGCCAATGCATTTAATTCCCAATGTCACCTCCAAGCAGCCTTTCCTCTCTCTCCCAAAAAATAATAAAGAGAGTAATTCATGTGTCACCATGAGATATATATGGCCACACAGAGAAGTAACATCCCAACCCAAAGACCAGAAAGGCTCCCTGATACAGCTCCTGCCTGAATGACTGGAGCACGGTCTAGTGTTGCCGGAATTAGAAAGTTTTAAACTTGGATACACAGCACAGCAGGTGACATTGGATGTATGGGATGGAGTAGAACTTGAAAAAAGTAGGCCTTTTAAAGGACCAATGTTCAAGGAACCTGAATGAGCATGGAAGCAAACACTGAGCCATTTGATGGTGGTGGTAGTTTTCAAGTCTGGTGAAAACCAGTGAGAAGGGAAATCATTTGGGCAGTATGTGTATAATGTGGTGTTGTATTCTCAGCCCAATGAAGTGAGAGAGTTCATAGGCTTATTTTTTTGTGGTGTTGTTTATGGCAAAGTCATCTGTTACTATGGTAGCAAGCAGTAAATAATGATATAAAGTTATTAAAATGAGTTCTGGTGTTTCTGGCATGTGGTTGGAAGGTTTTATTCTTCGTCTGAGTGTCATTTGTGCAAAATGTGGTGATGCATCAAATTAAAAAAAAGGATTTTTATTTTTAAAATTGCCCAAGAGTGCCTTAGGGCAATGGTTTCCTGAAGCTGACCCTGCAGGGCTTGTGTCACATAAATAGTCTTTACATCCTATTTGCATATACTGTCTCTGGCTGCTCCACTCTGATGCAACAGTGGCACTTCTCAGAAGACTGAACAGTGGGTCTAGCAAGAATTTTCACAGATCCTAATAGCTCTGAATATTTTTCAGCTAGTGTGATTGTGAATGGAGAGGAACCTGGCAGGAGAAAGGAGGAACATATCAAAAATACCCCAGAAGCATTTAGAAAGTTGCTTTTTCTAAATTGGTTTATAAGTGAAAATAAACATTACATAGTGTCTGAAAGAAAAGACATTTTTATTTTGCATAACATCCTAAGACCACTCATTCTTTTGCCTGCAGAAAAAAAAAGATATTAATTTTTAAACTTGTAGCAGAAGGTAACAGTAAGCAGGACCAGCAAGCTGCATGTCTTTTGCACATATATGTACTGAGGAGAAAGAAAAAGAAGAAATGTTTTCACCTTCCTCCAAATTCTGTGGCCAGGCACAATATCCATATGCTGCTATCCAGGAACACAGCTGCAATGACTATTTCAGGTTACTGCTTCCTTTAATTCAGTGGAACATACTCATAAAATAATGCCACAGCAATTCTTGTCTACCTCCTATGCTGAGAGCTCTGCTGGAGCCACAACTCATCTGAATTCCTTCTTAGTCCCACCATGACCTTCCAGCTGCAGGCAAGAATTGGTGCATCTTTCCTTTCAAGAAAGGAAGAATGACAAAAACAAATCATATTTCTTTGCCATTATACAGCATTAGTTCTTTTAGTAAAGTGTTGGAAATAAGCATGTAAATGAGAAGATGCTATCCATGCTCCCTTGGGAATGCTGTGTGGACTGACAGGGAGGTAGTATGGTATTATATGTGCCTTTTCGTGTTTACTTTATGCAGAATAGATTGAACAATTGTCATTCTTATCCCACACAAGTTCTTGTTCTCTTTATCACAGGAACATGTATCTGGGGAATCATTTCTCATCACTCTTACTGTTTTATTTGTATATAACACTTTTGGTGTTAGAAGACACCCTAAACAGAACAACAGACCTAGAGCAGACTGAAATGTAATGGATTCTGGGTCTACACACAAAATTGGCAGTGGTGAAGTAGCACTTCACAAAATATCGGATGGAGTACCTGGTTGTCTCTGAAAAAAATTGCACTTTTAATATTTCACATCTGGATGCTTTTCTGTAAGTATATTCCTTTCTGTCCCCAAACAAGTGAACAAGCACTAGAGAGCTGGCAGCTGGAGACTTCATGAAGGTTTGGCACACTCTCTCAGGCACAGTCAATTTGCCTGTGGGGTGTACAAAGGTACATTATCCTATACTGGATTTCCTGCTTTACTTCTTCCAGGAGTTTACAACTTCTGTTCAAGCACACCTGTGCTCCACTGAAGTTTACTCCAGGAGTGCTCAGGTCGCATTCTCCTTACCACAGTCTCCTTAGGGCTTCCCCAGAGGACTGAATTTATTTTTGTTATCAAAAACTTCCTGTGCATCCCTTAGCCCAACCTGCCATACTCAGTCCCTGCTGGAGTTTCCAACTCTTGTGAACGTGCTGATGGTGTGCAGATTTCAAGGAGCCAGGATTCACCACATCTTTCCCCTGCAGATTTGTTGTTCTCCAAAGCTGTCTTGAACTCCTGCAGGCTTGAGCCTCAAGGTTTTTTGGTAGATTAAAACTCATACTGTTTTCAGTGAAAGCTGTCATAAAACGTCATAAATTTAAATTTCTCTGCTGCAGGAGCTGAGAGGCTTCGTCAACCATGTTGGATAATTCTTACTAATAAGAAGATCTAGCCTTTGGTTTTTTTATTCTTTTCTTTAACAGGAATGCTAGTATTTTTTCCCCCATATGTGTTTTAGATATACCATCTGTGGAGAGCAGCAATGTGTTTATCATCAACAGTGAAAATACTGACCTGGAAAGGACTTTTTTTTTTTTTTTTAAACATATGCATTGATATGGATATAAGGAAAGCAAAAACCCCACAGCTGCTCCGCCTGCAGGGCTTTTCTGAATAGCAGAATGGATCAAAGGATGTTTTTATTTCCTTGTGAAGAGGAAAAATTCATCACTTTATAAATCACAGCAAAAACAAATCAAATCAATACCAGGAGCTTTTTAATAATAATGCATTTCTTATGGCTATCCTCAGTATAGGTCTCAGCAGTGGATGTTGCACACAGCCAAGAAGAATGAACTAAAAACCTGTGTCTGACACTGGTTTTCATTTAGCATGGAGGAATTAACTGAAGTACCAGACTGTAACATCCCAAGTACTGATGTGTTTAGAATCTGAGAGCTAAATCTGTATTTTATAGCTGGAGTTCATCTGAACTGTGAAGTGATATTTTATAAATAATTTTTTCCTTTCTTCAGAATTCAAGAACATGTTGTGTAGTTTTCCTTTTTACATCTGCTGTGTGCTGTGGCTGAGTTGTTAATGCACTTGGTTCAGCTGTTAGCAACACATCCTGAATGTCTTCTGTAGACTATTGCAATTTGAACACCTTTTTTGGTTGATGAATAAAAGAGAAGCTCTCCCTCATCTTCTGTGGAATGTGTTGGCTTCTATCCTGATGAATGTTACTGTAGGATGCAATCATTTATTTTAACTGTGTTGAGAGACTTTCAAAGTCATTATACGATCTTCTTACAGGCCAGTAAATTCATACTGTATGTCAAGGGATGAAAGTTAGTGCTGAGATCACTAAATAACACATACTTTCAATGGAGCTTAAAAAAATTCTGGCCCATGAAATTTGTGATTAGAACTAGATCATCTATTAACAAGTCAGTGCTGACTACGGAATAGGTCCAAGTGCTTCCTAAAATGGAAAAGTGTTGGCAGGGTACAACAGTGAGCAGTAAACAGGGTATAAAAAGCTATGAGTAGTAGAGAAAAAGATTAAGAAAAGAGAAAGTTTTGTATTACCTCAGAAAGAACTGAGTCATGCAGTTGCTTGGTGTGGACATGAAGTTATTAGCAAGGGAAAAAACACATCACGATATTTTATTGTCCCTTCTTTAGCTGTTAGGCCTCCAAGACCAAAACCAAACATGTGTGGGTATTTCTTTGTTTTCAGTTTTCCTTACTAACATTATATGTCTGGACATAGTGTGACAGAGAAAGCTATTTCTTAATTATTTAGTAGTAATTAATAATGTGAATTAATGTTGTGCTGCTACTACATTGGCCCTTTCTTACACATACATTGTTTTGCGCATATAACCAAGTATACAACCATGGTGTTTGAAATTCAAGTGTTACCTTTTCTTTTCCTTACTTGTTTTTCAGGTTGACTTTGAACAACTCCAAGAAAACTTGTGTCAGATGGAAAGACGGTGCAAAGCATCATGGGATCACCTTAAGGCTATAGCAAAGCATGAAATGAAGCCAAGTCTAAAGCAAAAGATGTCTGAGTTCCTTAAAGACTGTGCAGAAAGGATCATAATCCTGAAGATTGTTCATAGAAGAATAATTAACAGGTATAGAATTAGATTGGTGACATCAATATCTTGATAGTAAATGACTTGGTAACATTATGTTATGACACTATATATATGGGTTTTTTAAGTGTTTAATCCACATTCCAGCAAGGAGTGTTACCAGATTGTATGCGGTGCATACTTTGTTGTAGACTCCATTTAAGAAAGGTCCCCACTCTAGAACTATATTTCTATTAAAAGAAGCAATCATCCAGGCAGTCATTTATTCCTGAGGTGCAATCACTCAGTCTTTTAACTCCTAGTCCCCCCAAAGTAGCAGATTTATGGTTAAGTTGCTATTTTTTTCTGTTCATCCCTGAATATTTTTGAGGGGATTTGGCTTCCTGTCTGATAAACAAGAACAGACTGTAGGAGAAAAAAAATGAAGTTTTAATGACAAATTTGTCATATGCAGAAGTCGAAATGAGTCTTGTAATCCCAATTGCAGTGTAAGAGAAGTGGATTCACTAGTTTCCAGCTGTGTTTATCATATACATAGTACAAATAAGAAAATTAACTTTTCCCTACTATATCCTGCAACTATTACTATTAGTTCTCAAAAAATATATTTATGTGCTTGCATCTTTCTAGAATTGGAAGGACTTCTTATTATCAGGGATGGAGATGCAGTCAAAAGGAATTCCCATACATTTTTAAACATTCAGTGTGCTGTTGTAAATCTCGCAATAGAGAAGCAGCAGTAAAAATTGCAAATAGTGCAAAAGTGCCAAATGCCACAGAAGCAGTAAAACTGTGAATTGAGAGTATCCCAAACTTACGTACTTGGTAGATAATATAATTTTATGGTCAGTTTTGTGAACCAGAAATTCTTTCCTTCTTGTGTTTGCTAGCCTGTAAATCTGCATTCTTCTTGTCTAGACTTTGCCCAACATCCTAACAACCTCTTTGAAGTTGCTTAATACAAATAAATAGAATTGAAACTTAATAAATATTTTTTCTATAACTGAAATTAAATTGGTCATTCACATGCCAAATTAGTCATATAAAGTAGATGGAGTTCCATAAACATCTTATCTCCTGCATCAGCCTGGGAAAGTAGACTGGGATGAAGTTATCATAGGCTAGACTTTCATGGTTTTAATTATAAAACATACCAGTGTTATGCAAAGCATCCATGAAAATTCTGTAGCATAAAGGAAATTATGGGAGCTAGTAAAGTAATAAATGGATTCAACGAAATGTAGGGGTTTTTCCCAGAGACCATCAATAAAGATTTTTCCCTCTACATTTATGAACTCGTTGTTTTCCAGGTTTCACTCATTTTTGTTATTTATGGGCCATCCTCCCTATGCAATACGTGAAGTCAACATCAATAAGTTCTGCAAAATCATCAGCGAATTTGCTCTGGAATACCGCACCACCAGGGAACGAGTTTTGCAGCAAAAACAGAAACGAGCTAACCACAGGGAAAGAAACAAGACCAGAGGGAAAATGATAACAGATGTAAGTGGCAAAATGTATCTCCCACAGCATGGACTTTTAAAACTTTCTTTCATTGACTGAGGTATATGAAGTGTCATTACTCTCTAGTTTTATTCTTAGAGGTTCTTCTATTTTAAGTGATGAGCTCTGTTCTCTTAAAAGGAAAAACTTGTAAGTCCTTGATGATGTATGTATTTTTTGCTTCAGACAAATTTATAGAATGAGAACAAACTGACATTAAGCATCCAAAAAGAGCATCTCTGTGTGTTGCATGGATAGTGCCCAGAATATCTAGAAGACACCAGAAGCTCTGTGTACCAGATCAGCCAAAAATATAAAAAAGGAAAATAACTAGAAATTTGGTTTCTAACAGAGGACATGATTTAAATTATGAACACTGTAGCCATTTAAGTAATTATAAACAAATTTACATTTATTTTTTCACCATCATTGAATATTCCAATCTTTAATCTTAATATTTTATCTATTTTTATGTGTACATACATGTATACATATGTATATACATAGGCATGCACATGCACAGCAATTTTCTTCTTAACTTTAAAGCACAGAACCGCTAATTTTATGGGAACAAACTACTTTGGGATTCTGAAATTTATGTTACCCTGCAAAGTTTTTGACTGTATGATTGCATACACATAGAATAAATTAAGATTAGTTTTTTCAGCATAGTAAGCTTTAAAAAACCCTTGATTTATTTTTTTTTAAGTTGCAGTTTGACACAATCCAAATAATGTTTTAAGAAGTGCCAGTACTTGATAAAATTTTCCAGTTGTCTCAGAATCCAAACTTGTAGTCTCAATTAGATGCAAGTGGTTCATTGCTTATGAAGCTAGCCCTGCCTTTGGTGTGAAGAGCCCTAAGATGATTACAGTTTATGGCTCAGGCAGCATGGGTCAAAAAAGAAAAGAAAATATATGTATTGAGACTGATATAAGTTGAGATTGTATTTAAGTCACTGACTCACAATCATTTGTAGATCTTTTCTGGCAATATCCTTTTCGCATTTGGAACTCTGCCCCATCTAGAGAAAATGTTAAATCTGTATTATTATCAAAAGATTTTCCTTTTGGTCTAGCCTCAGGTTAAGGAAGAGTCTCTGATTTTATATGAAGGCTGTAATATAGTCATAAATTTTCAAAACTACCACGGAGAAACTCTGATCACTTTCTTCAATTGCTTCTGGGTTTTCCAGACATATTCTAGAGGAAGTAATAGACAGCATTAACCAAAGAGATTGGTAGATTAAAATTTTCATTTCCTCAAATAGCTTCGATACTTTTTACTAGTTTAAGCAATACTGAGATTTGAAGGAGTCACTGTTTTCCTGCTGTGTGATGTAGTGTTTCTCTATTATCTGTCCAGAAGAACTGGCTGTGGCAGGACAGAAAACTTCTCTACATCCTGCTCCTGCAGGAAATGCAAGGGGGAAAGGAGATCTGATCACTGGCAGCTGAGTTCAGGAAATGGAGAAATGGGACCCTTTCAAACCAGAAGGCTCAGGCTTGACAATGAATCAGCAAGGAGCAGAGCCAGGGGCAATGGCCTTTTCCTGAAAATGTAGGAGAGGAGGCAGCAAGGCCTTTACCAGAACAAAAGTATTATTGGAAGTTGTATTGTTCAAGATAGTGTTGAGATTTGGCAAGAATTAAATGCCATCTAACAGCTAGTGTTACATCAAAAAATATCTTACAGGTCTCAAAAAAGGGAGCATTTCTTGCCTATCCCTAATTTAAATTATAGAATAGTCTTACTAGCTTAAAGCCAAGAAGCCTGCTGGAGTGAAAAACATCATTCTTTAGAATTTCCTTTATGGGAGTGTTCTTTAAGGGAGCTATTCATCTGGCCATATAGTTACTTCAGAACTTGCTAAATCTCTTTAATCATAGCGCAGTTATATGGCCTCATTTACCTTCTACTTCAATTGCACTATATGGTAAAACAGAATGAAAATTGTATGAGACTATTGGTCACAGCTTCTTTCGACAACTTCAAAGTCAAATCTACGTCAAACAAGTTTCCAGGTCAGCAGGATGGAAGATACTTAGGTGTGAAGAACGATGAAATAGGGGAATTTCTTTGTAGTCTTGCATTGGCTGTGATTTGTAACTGGTCTTGAATTTTTTAGTGTTTGATATTTGAAGACATTGGAAAGGGAAGATACGTCAGTAATGCATTGACAGTGTGTTCAACTGATAGAAGAAAGTTGAAAGTTGGAAAGGAATTCTTTGTAGAAAGTAGTTATAATATGTAGTAGTCACATGGAATTTTAATTTCTGCTTTTGGTGACCTAAAAGTATTGTGCATTTTTTATTTGATATTTGCCTCCGTGTCGTTTTGAAAGTTTCCTCAGGATCTCATGTTTATCACCTTACAGTATATTGCCTTTAGGCAGATGAAGAGGGATTATAGCAAAAGTGGGGAAGGAATAAGCCAGAACCAACCCAGTTCTTACTGAGAAGGCACATATCTCTCAAACCTTGGTCCCCCCTGCAGGCTTGGAAGGCAGAGGGGTGCTGGCTCTTTGCATGGAGAGAGTCTGCTGGCTCTTTGACAGAGAACTTGCATCAACTTCAGCAGCTACTCACATGGAGTAGGACTGAGGAACACAATGGGGCGTATTTTCAGACTTTCTTTGAGCCTTTTACGACAGATATCTTTATGGTTTTATGTTCTTTAAGAGCTGCAGTGGATTGGGCACTGTCAGTTTAAGTCTTGGTGAATGTTGTCTAGAGGGGAGGGCTAAGAAAAAAACCAAAACCGTGAATTGCCACAGTTTCACAGGGAAAATTGCCTAGTCTCTATAACCTTATAGCTGGCTTTAGCCAATGATAGCACTCATTTCAGGCACTCTAAAAATAACAAGCTAGCAACATAGGGAAGAAATGCAATTATAGATAGAAGTCTGAGCTTTTTAATTATTTTTAATAATAATTGGTAATATAAGCATCTGTGTTCCAGATTTATGAAGCTCTACTTTTCATGATACTTAACAGTTTCAATTCCAAAATTGCAATGTAATAGAAATATTTTGAAACAGCAAATCCACCAAATAGAAATGCTAGCCTAAAGGGAAAATGTGAGGCAAGGAGGGAGATCTCAGATTGCCCTGCAATATCTAATAATGAATTACAGAAGAAACAAGCAGCCCTTTTTCCTTCAAATTAACATCTTGTGCCTGCAAGTAGTATTCAGTATAGTGATATTTTTTCACTGCTTTTTGGTAATATTACATGTTAAAATATTCCTAATTTGTTACTCTTTCTCAGTGTATTTATGATGATGAAATGCAGAAGGAAATAAAAGGCAGAATGTACACACCTAGGTGAGAGCAGATTCCCCTGTGAAACAAAAGGTTGATTTATTTATTCTGCTACTTTCACTCCCATTGTCAGTATTTGCTGGGGGCAACTTGCTCTTCAGACACGGAAACATGATGGGGATGGTGAACTGCTCCTCCTGTGCACTGGAGTAACTTTGGGTGTAGAAGGTCAGTGGGTCTGGGAGGAGAAGAAATGGTAATGCCCAGTTACTGGAGATGAGGAAAATCAAGCAGGGAGGCATACCTTGCCCTTAAAGTTAAGTTCACAGCACATCACTTTTAGCTAGATTAAGTGGGCAGGAAGGCTAACAGCTGGGACTTTCCCTGTAAAAATCTATCTGTATATGAAGTAATAATATCATAGACTTCTCTTCAGAACACACTCTTTGTAGTGTGTATTCTCTCCTATCTTACTTTGCCCCGTTGCCTTTTTGTATTGTTTAGCTCAATTTGCTTTTCTGCTGCCTCTTACTTGTTGATAGATGTACAGAATGATGTATTAGATTAGATAGATAGATAGATAGATAGATAGATAGGATTAGAATACAAGAATGCTCTTACTTGCCATTCTTCTTTCTGTTTCTTATTCATGCCAAAAAGTGAACAGTGGTCTTTTTCAGAAGAATTGCTTTATAGCGTGACTCCCTGCCCCCCAGGGGATGAAAAAAAGACAGATGTATCTCTTTAATGTAAAGGGAACATACCTGCTGAGGTTCCTCTGCAAAACAAATTGCTTGTGTTTCTGTCAGCACCACTGTGTCCAAAGAAAAATAAGCATCTCACTCTTTGAATAAAACATACCCTTAAAAAGTAATGTTAATAGCTGCTCAGCACTCACAGCTAATCTTCTTATGGAGATTGTGCTGAAACTAAACTGAGGGCCAAAGTAAATCAGGCTTTCATTTTTGGTGATGAATGTTTCTGGAACAGAATGTATCAATCCCAGACAGAAATCAGAGCTGAGATGGAGATAAGGTCAAAAATATGTATTAGTAACACTAGGGAGGGGAATAGTATTGGTGGAATGCTTCTTCTAAAAAAACCAAAACAAAACCCACAGATAAAAAAAGTGCATCAAACTTCTGGACTATGTTTGCACTTTATAAACAATCAAACTGAGAATTATGGAAACAAGGAGCCCAGGTCCTTGAGAAACTGTATTTTACTTTGGGAACCTTCCATGTGGGGCATCACACAACCCAATAAGGAATTCCCCAGACATTTGGGAACGCAGCTCCAAATAGTTTGCCAATTCCCTGTAAATCCCCAAATTTAAGAGCACTCCATATCCCACAATGTTTGTATGTGTTCATTGCATTTAACTACTGTAACTGTCAAGATAGTTTTACACGCCTGCTGTCACAGAGAGTGAAAGCTATGAATGACAATGGATAATTGCATCTCTGTAATTTCCAGGATCAGATATCAGGCAGCTACTGAAGAACTTTGAGTATTTATTCAAAGACGACCCAGCATTTGCTTTAAGCGCTCTGTTAAATTGGAAGTTGAAAAGCTCCAGCTTAGGAAAGGAATTAAAACAAGCACTCAAGTGTAGAGAAAAGGAGTTGCCAAGAAGCTGACCTCTGCACTGGGAGAAACAGCCAGGACCTCCCTGTGCTGAACAGAGCTGGAACAAGGAGAGAGTCCTTCCTAGTGCTCTCCGTTTTCACAGGGCAAAAAGTGGGCAAACAACCGCATGACTCAAGGGAGAAAAATAGGATGGGTTAGGGGAAGTTTCAGTTCATCATTTACCTAAGAAAAATCAAGAATTTTTTACATACCCTGCTGACAGTGACAGTCTGCTCTACATACAATTAGCTGAAAAAAAAAAAAAAGACAAGCTGATTGTCTAAGGAATTAATTCCTTATATGTTTTCTATTTTTATGTCCTCCTATTTCATAAACAGTACCATGGTTACCTCTTACTCTGTTGTGATTTGACCATACTGTCTTTCCTAAATCTTGCTGTTTGTCCTTCTCCACCCTGTCCTTTGTTTCTGGTGGCAGACCGATGAAGAAGAGGATGCTGAGGTATGGTTCTGTGAAACAGCATGTCATTCCCATGTCTCCTGTGTGCTGTGACATCTAATTTCTAACTCAGATAGTATGGACTGCTCAACTCCATCTGCTCAACTGGAGCTACGAACTGACATTTTTCTCATACCTTTTTGTCTCAATCATAAGAATGCATTTTTACAGTCAGCTTTAACCATATGCATACCTGTCCTCTTGAACAAGGATATCCTGATCTGAGGCCTTAATGATTTTAAGTTTCCTCATTTCTTTTCCTTAATGTCTGTTCATCAAACTGCAAGGTATCCCCGTTACCCAAAACATCAGTGATCTAAATGTTATAGGGATCATCAGTTACCTTGGGCTACAGACTACATGATAATTTCATACTCATTGTTAACCTGTGTAAGTCCAAGTGATATTATTTTATGAAGTATTCAAAAGCATCAGGATACAGGGGTGCTAAGCAAACTGTAATGGTTTTGCTTGTTGTATAAATTGAGAATAAGACATTTCACTCATCATAGAAGTGAGCCATGGTGTAGTTCATGTATTTATCATAAAGTGCATCTGAAGGTGATGTTGAAAATGAACAAAGGAGTGAAAAAGTAATTGAAGAACTACAGTGTTCTAGCTGTATTCATAATAAGATGGTTAATTGGTTTGAGGAGCATATATTGTGCAATGCATTTTTTGTTCAGCATTAGAGCTTTCTTCCATTTGCTGAATATAAACAATGTGGCTTAATGCTCACTCTTTCACAGTGGCGGTCATTTGCTCAAGAGGCTGGTGTTTGTGCAGTGATTTATGGCAACATCTGAAAATTCAGGAAATGAAAAAAACCTTTTGGCTCTAGAGTTTTGCCCCCAGTGATGATTTGTGCTGTATAGCGTTGGGCACAGAAAGAAAATTTCATTAATTGGCCTGTTTATGACAACATGTAACTAATCTGTGTGAATAGTAACTAACAGTTATGTGAAGGCTTTATCCTTTGGGTTTTTTCTGAGCTTTACAACCCACTGTCTCTGAGTAGTCTTAATGCTAAAATGGCATGCACTTTCATAGGAGATTTTTCCTAATGTTTTTCTCTTTTAATTTCACATGTGAAACTCTATCACTTGCATACTTTCACATCAAAATGTTGCAAGCTAATATTTTAACAAGAAAACAAACTTCTCACTCTCAAAAACAGGTCTCATACTGGTATATTTAGCTCAGTGCCTTGTAGGGATTATTGTTTTGCCAGTCAGTTAACTTGCCATCTTACCCCAAAAAGTCACTATGTTAAAATAGAATCATCCTATCACTGATTTCCAGATTAAACATTTTCAATTTGCAGTCTTGACAGCCCTAGGGACTCGATCAAAGCTCTGAAAGTAGGGCCCAGTCTTTCCTTCCAATTTACTGTTCTCTGACAGAAAGTCTTTGCAGGTTTGCATCCCTTTAACTGACTGACTTGATACCAAGTGAATAATTAATGTTGTTTATTATGCAAAGGAAGAAGAGAATGCAGCACTTTGTCCTTTCATCTGTGTTGAATCGATCAGAGTAAGAAAGATTAGAAGGAAAAAGAAAATTTATTTCAGTGTCTGGTGCTGGGCTGATATGACTGGGAATACTGAGCAGTTGATGTTGATGCATATTTGCTGTCAACAGGGTCGGTATTTTCTGCAGCCATGACTGTATTTTAAATGTGCTTTGACCTTTCTGTACCTAAGAGCATAGGGCCAAATATCAACATCACAGCCCATTGTAGGCAGAGTCTGGGAAGGGAGAGCAGCTCAGCAATGCAAGCTCTTCTCCTTGGAAAGTACCCATTTCTGCCACTCTCATCTGTTCCTAGATGGCTGTAACCATGGGGGCTGCTGCATCCCTATGCTGTGCATGCCCAACTAATGTAGCTGCTGTTGTTCACGTAGTCGTGGTGACAGGGAAGCAGAGGGCAGATTCCTCAGTCTCTTGTAAGGTTTTGTTTGTTCTTCTAACTGCTGACTGCTATTTTTGTGTTTTGGCCATGAAATAATTTGTCTGGATGTTTTGGGACCAGGGAATTTTTCAGTTACTGATAATGTGTTTTAAGGTTTCTTGGAGATAATTGTGTTTTAGAGCAATTTGAGAGTTTTCTGTGCAGCAAGGCAGGGAGGCAAGAGGGAAAGGTGTTTCTTCCTATACCACTGTCTCCATTTCATCTTGTTACTGAGAGCTGATTGTACAGAATAAAAAAGCCAGTTTTTTCTTTGTTGTTGTGTCTCATGCTGTCCCCCTCAGCGTTGTGCCTGACCCCAGATCAGGCCCAGTCTGGGTCAACGGGTTCAAAGCGAGTCCGTGCTTTGTACCTTTTACTCTCAGACAGAAGGTCAGAATTACAAAGCTTGAGCTAATACACCTGTTTTTCCTCTGTGTCTGCTCCCTGCTGTCTCCCCATTTCCAGTTTATTCCTGGTCAGGGTGCATGCCCTGAGAGAGCCAAGCTCTTTTGAGAATAGCTGCAGTCCAAACCGAGCCTGGAAGGACACTTTTCTCCTTGCAATTCACAGCTGAGACTCTGGCCTATTCCCCATGCAATTTTCAGTTGAAATAACAAATCCATTTCCTCCTGCAGTCTGGCAAGTTCTCCAGCAGCTCACCCCCCTGCCAGAGCCAGCCCCAGGGGCTGCAGTACGCCGAGGACGCTGCTGAGCATGAGAACATGAAGGCTGTGCTGAAGACCTCCTCCGTTGGCGGGGAAAGCACCATGGCGCTCGGGGTCCGCACTCGAAGCCGGGCCAGCCGAGGTGAGTGCCATCCATTTCCTTCTGGCCACATTTCTTGTGGTGTGGTAGCCACACAGTGGCCCAAATGTTGGCCCTTGCATAGTGTTCACAGCAGAGAGGTCAAAGGGGAAGGAGAACAACACACGCATAGCAGCCAGAGTAGTACTTGGGTGCCTTAGGAGTCCAAGCCTTCAGAAATTCTCGCCTCTCCCCACACAATGATCATGACTGCCTACTAATGCCCCAATTTTTGTTCTTGTTCTCATCATGAAAGCAAAATGGGGCATCTAGGGAATCTATGATATAGTGGGTTTTTTTATTTTCAATAGAAGCAAGTAGAAAGTAGAAATTGAAATGAAAATACAGTGTAGCATTTTATGAATGATTGGGGAGAGGAAAACGGGTAGGAAAAAGAGGATGAATTGTTTAACCACCTCCCTGCTAATCTGCAAAGGTAGTGGGTGTTTTCTTTTGTCTTCCTGTCACCCCTCCCCTATGCACAATGCGTGGAAGATGGTTTTGGAGTAAAGGTGATGCACCAAAATTCAAGTCTTCGCTTTCCTGCTCTGGTATTTCTTCTCCCTCACATCTGGATATCTTGCACTTTCTTGATTCTTTTTTGATGTGACAGATAGCACATCCAGAGCATCCATCACTAATCTGTGTGTGTGTGGCTTATTAAGGCTTGAAACTGTGATCCTGTCTAATTTAGAGGTTTCACAGCCCCAATTTAAGAAGGAAGTCAACTAGCTAAAGTACAAAGATTAAATAGTTCAAGCTGCACTGCAACAAGCTGAACAGCTGAAGTAATCCACTGAATGCTAACGAGCAGTGTGTCCTGAATGTGAGAGTCAGCTCATGTTCCCCTGAAGAACAGCAGAGCCAGAGGACAGGTGAGGCAGACAGAAGCTTGTCAGGAGCACTGTTGTAATACAACTGCTCCTGACAAGAGCCAGGAGAGAAGCAGCAGAGCAAAAGCCTAATCAAAGCTGTTGTTGATTGACTTCAGGGACATGATACAGAGTGTCCTCGTTAGTGATTTTTTTGGCTGCTTGCAATTTTATCACAATCACTCCTTTGCAAGTCTCGCTGTCAGTGTTCACACTGCATGCTAGCCTTCAAATGGTTTAAAAATGGAAAGAACACAGAATAGTATTCCATAGTGGAGGAACCCAGAGATGTGTCACACAGAGCTCTGTGAAGTAAGGAGTGCCAGAGCCTTGGATTCGGAAACACGGCTCACTTGTTTGTTTGTGGTTTTAACCAAAATTGCTTATTTAGCTTTCCGGCTTGCCAACAACTCTTCCTTTTCCACTCATAACAGAGCACACACAGTTGTGCCAGGAAACATACAACTTTATGATGAGAAGATGAATTCTTCATTTTGAAAGGGACAAGAAGACATGTCAAACCACACTGTATGCCCTTTTCAAGTCTCCTTTTGCACTAGGTTGTGATACAGATGCTCAGAAATTGATTTGTTCTCTCTTTTGATATAAAGGATCTGTGTTTCTGATTTGCATCAATCGCTAACATGTGCCATGTCCTCTAGTGTCTGTGTAATAGTAGTGAAGGGAAACATGGTCACACAACACTAGCCATCCTTGGCTTATAGACAGCCACTAGCAGACATTTGCCAGTTGTATGGTCAAGAGCAAGACTCTGAGGCTGAAAGGAATAGAAAATTATAATTGCATTTAAGCTCTTGGTTCTCTGCTGATGCAGCAAAGAGTCTAGGGTATTATTTAGAAATATTCTCCATTAGGCAGAGTCTTCTTCTTTGGTCAAATTGAAGTCGTGTTGACTGAGCTGCCTGCTGTAATTTCCAAAAAAAAGCCAATTGCAAAACCAAAGTGACGCAAGAGACTTTCTGTCTTCTTTTCCCTCAATTCACTTGCTGGACTTTTCCAGGCCGTATCGGTTCGTGGAACGCTGGCAACGACGATTCACCTAACGCAACGGATGACGCAGCAGATGAGATCATGGATCGTATTGTAAAGTCTGCCACCCAAGTGCCAAGCCAGCGAGCGGTGCCTAGAGAGAGGAAACGGTCACGAGCAAATAGGAAGTCATGTGAGTATATGACTATTAAGTTTCTCAAAATAAGTGAACATGCAAATACTTATGTATATCAGTGTAAGAACCAGGCCTTTAGTAGGCAGACATGCGTTGGTAGGTCGTAGTAGCGTGAGTGTATACCTGTGAATGGCTTATGCTCCTCTTACTATTGTTTAAACACGTTGTATGCAGTGGGTATCTCTGTCTTCCACAAAACTTGAAATGTCCTTAGCAGTAAGAGAAGAATGGTTTATGGTGTTTTAGAGCTGATGACAGTACTTATTCGTAACTGGAGAAGTCAGATCAGGACCTCAAATGGAGACTGCTTAAAATGCTATAACCTACTGTGAACTGGCATAAAGATTAATAGTTATACCTGTAGCTGAATTTATTCATAGAGCAAAAAGTAGTTTGAGTTTTTTTGCCTTTTAAAATCTTTCTCTCTCGTGCTGTGTGCTATCTTTCCGCAGCCCTGAAAACAAAATGTCTACTGCTGCTTGGCTGCAAAGTGGTTATAGAGGAGTTTAACTTCCACTGGGAAGAAAAGGTAGCACATTTATAAGGTGGTCTTTCAATGGTGTAGTGTGGCCATGGGGCTAAACTGTGGCACCCGAGTTTGAGCAATTTGGTTTTGTGCTTTAGTAAATACAGTGTTTAAGAGGTGATGAACTTTCTGGGTTTATATCTTTTCCTCATGTGCAGAAACTACTGCAATTACTATGAAAAGGATAAGTACCCAAAGAACACAAGAGTTTAGTGTGTAATGTCATTCACCATATGTGGCTTTTTGACTACCTTTTCATCCATCTTTTTAGCATTTCTGGGAAGTTAGGACAAAGAGGAGACAACAACAGTGAGTGGAAAATGACACGGTTTTCTTTTTTGTGGAATTGTTCTAACATAATGGGTGATCAAAAACATTTGGTGTTGCTATAAACTAGCATGTGCTGAAAGCAGATCTGCTTTCCCAACATGCTAAGAAAGGAACTGCTGCATGTGGCAAGAGCAGAGGCAAAGTGAACACTCTGGTTAGATGAGCCAGGCTCTAAGCAAAGAAAATGATCTGACACTGGATTGTCTGTACTTGCTGTCATACACTGTGCCCTACCTCTTTGTGGCATCACCTTCTGCTGCTACCCACTTCCCCACACAGTTCTGGTGTTCTGCACGTGCTGACTGCACGGGTTGGCTTGTGCATAGCAAATAAACCTCCTGTATGCCTATTTCCATGGTTTGTCCCATCCTAAAATATTTCCTCTGTTAGCAACACTGTCTTCATGTACACACATACCGCAAACTCTTATTCTTGATTTTTACCAGGTATTTTTTTCCCAAGGAATCACTTGCTGCAGGAAAAACAAAGCATAACAGGATAATGATAATAAAAATACTATATATTTTTCAATGGAATTTTCTTTTATATTTAGTAAAAACATTAACAGGGATTAAACATTCAGTAAATGTTTAGGCTGGGACTGATTTCCATTTTAATTAAGCATGATAGAATCCAGCTCTTTTCCTTGTTTGCTCTTCAAGATCTATCTGTGACTCTTAAATGGATTAAAAGACAGTTTCAAAACAAACATAAAGTCCAGTAGTGTCCCTTTCAGCCAACATGTGCGGAAGTGTGGAAGCAGAATATCTTAACTGAACTGTTTCACTCCAATAAATAGTCAGTATACCTGGATGATGAATTAATGAAGTAGTTTAGCTTTAAAATACGCTCAGCTGGACTGATAATATGGCACCTCCAGGAAATGAACAGAAATCAGCCCTTGTTAATGTGTGGTGCAAGTTAAATGAGCAGAAGCTACTCCAGGTAGAAACACAACTCAGGTCCTCCATAAACACATTAGAAAGTAGGTTCTAGGCTTCCCTCAATAATTCAGATTAGCAGACACTATGATATTTATTATCCGCAGAGCAAAAAGACTCTATTATCTGATGGGTTTGATTCACCATCTTCAATCTTCAGTCTCCCATACACATCTTCTGGCTTTTGCCACAGGATTGGTATTCAATGGACAGCAAAGCAAAGCTCACTTGAAAGGAACTAATTTCCCTGTGAATTATGTTGCATTGCTGTCAGTGCAGAACTGGAAATCTTGTCAGGCTTGCTTGGTATTCAGCAAAGATTTTACTGAACATGAATTGAGATATATGTTTTTAGCAAAATCAGAAACCCAAAATATTTATATGCAATTGCACTGTAAACATTTCCTGTGGTTCAGGTAGAAGGTTCTCATGGGCAAGGGATTTTTTGTGCCATAAAAGAGACAGAAAAATGTGAAGTAAAAAAAAAAAGCAACTGATATTCCAGTTATTTATAGCTAGGCAAAAGGAGAAACAGAAATATGGAAAAGGTTAAGTTAAATTCAGGAAGTAGTTGTAATGGGAAAATGAGACTTTTTGACATGTTCATTTGAACCATTTTACCTTTTGTGGTTGTCGAGCAGCATGACTGTATCTGGTATGCAGAGAGCTTAGGCCGTAATGATGTAGAATAATTTGAACACTCAGAGTAATCAGCAGAACTATAAAATGGTAGAAGAAATAAGGCAGTAAGTCATCCAACAAAAGACAGATGGAAATGCCTCTATCTGTTGGTCGAAGATAGGAAGGGATACTGATAAATAGGGATGTGACTGAGCTTGGCTGAGACCTAGTAGGAATAAGTTTGTTCAGTGGGAGCTGAAATGGATTACAGAAATCTAAGGTATATGATAAGTGCATAACAACTGAGATCCTGTGATGATCTGAAGAGAGAGAAATTAATTCTGTGCTATATCTTTACACAGTGGAAGGTTTTAAGGATAAAATTTGGCATTTAGAAGTACAGTAACCAACTGGAAGTCACTGCTTTACGATGGGTGCTCAGCAACCTGCCTACCAGAGGTACTGGAGTGTGGAAAATAACATTGCAGTTATATTTGTGCATCAGAAAGCCACAGGATTGAATGAGCCACAGAAACTGAAATGCTCTGTCAGCCCTCGAGGTAGTCGTTCAAAGACAGCTTCAAGACAAGTTGCCATGGGAAGCTTCTGCTGGTTTTATTCACTCATGTTCTTAATCTGTGTGTGAAAAACAGGTCCCAGCCTCTAGAGAGGTCAGTTCAGCATATTTTTAAAGCATAAAAATATAAATTAACTTGAAAATATACTGTTTCTGTTCTTGAAGTCTGAGGGCAGCTTTCTGTGAGAAAAGGTTTTTATAACATTATGGGGAGCTGTTCAACTTAGCAAAGAAATAAAAGATAATATAATTAGGATTGTCTGGTTCTCCTATAAGGTTAGGATAGCCCTCACAAACGGTGCCATAACAAACAGTGAGTGCAAGGGAAATTGGAATAAGGAAGTTTTAAGAGTCACTGTATTTAACAGTCCCAACTTTCAATTAATACAATTGCCAAAGTTAATGTTTAGCAGCTTACAAAACAGTATTACAGGCATTGCACCAGTGGATTTGGGGAAACAAAAAGTAAACTCTTTGTATGAGACACCACTGGGACTTCAAAAAACAGTCAAGAAAGGAAGCTATGTAATACAGAGATCTGGATTTAAAAAAAAGGATTAATGCACAGTACATAGGCAGAGTTTGCTGTGAAGACTACAAGAAGTGAGGTAAGAGAGGAAATTTTATAAAGAATAATGCTGCTTAGAAAATCCTGTTACTAAATGAGGGTTTCACACCATGGTGAAGCAGCGTTGCTTCAAATTGGGGGAGACAAAAAATAGGTCTTACAGTCATGGCAGCTTTGAGGCAACTGAAGACACATAAAGAATAGCAGTATCATCCATAAGGTACAAGTTTTGCTTAAATACATTTAATTAAAGACACAACCCCCAAAAAGCCATAATAGAAAACAGGAAGATAATGCCATTTTCCTTCTTGTCCTGGATGTTTATTTAAATATCCATTCCTTAACAGAACATCAGTCTTAGGAATAGACTCTTTCTGAGATGCCACCTCTGTTTTGCTCTTACTGAGCAGGATGGATCTGTCTCAGGAGAATGATATCACACAAGTGGACTGTGGAGTAGATAGGAATTGAGTCAAGTTTACCTGAATCCCAGACAAATAAACTTAGGGCTGGTAGATTAAATTTAACTGCAGAACATCCTATGTCAGGTATTTCATACTAAATTCCACCTTGAGTAAAAGTGAAATAGCAGTCAGCATGCTGTCATCAGGTGCCAGAACGTGGGGAAGAGCTCTGCCAAAGGACCAGGCCTGGAGACAAATGTTAGACAAGTTTTGGTAACACATACAGTGCTCCTTTGGAATAAACATGTTTGCAAGTAAATAAAATACTACATGGGAAACTCTTTGAATCCGAAGGTGTGTATTTCTTGTTGGGCATTCACAGGCTGCTTTATTTAAGATCTTCTTCTTCTTTCCTTTGTGTTTTTTTTTCATTATTTTTCATTTTCGTGTCACTCCACTTACTTTTTCTGGCTTTGAAAAGATACAGAAGTGCCAAAATACCAGGAGGAGACTGTTCTTCTGGTATTTATAGCCTGACTAAAAGCAGGAGTTAATGGAAATTATACTTTTTTTTAAATGAAAACCTTACAAAAAGAAAGTCTATATAAAACACTTTAAAGGCAAGCAGCTTCACTTAGAATTTGCCACTAATTATTTAGGATTTGAGTAGCTGGGTCCTATCAGGAGTTAGGGGAGGGGGTCCAGTATTCTACTTAGCAATGCATATTTAGGAACTATTCTTTGCATTTAGAAAAAAGTAAGTGTATCACTGATGGTATTCAGTATCAAAGTCTGTTTATTCTTACACAAAGTACTGAGCCTTCAGAAGGTCAATATCCAGCTAATAAACATGAAATTATTGAATGAAAACAGAATGTGAGATAAAGCTCTTAAAAGTCTGGCAGCTGTAAGGTTATGTCCATTAGATGCCAGGACAGCTAGTGTCTTGGATGTCTTTTAAGTAATACATTCTTTCATCCTTAGGATAGCAAGATCTTTGCAAAAATGGGACAACTAACCTCCATGATCT